TTAGTATTGATATTTACTTGTTGTTTAACTAGTTATCTCAATAGATTCGGACCAATGGCTCAATGTGTTTTTTTTAACCATTTGAACTGTGTGATTCTCTGATCTGTGTTGGCGAATTTGACGGTTATTTAAAGTTCTCCGAGATAACTACTGTTGTGATTTGGGGCAGTACAAGAATACATTTGATTTTTTAGAATTGAATCTCTGTATATGATGTGTGCTCTTAGTGTGCTCTTATGACTGTTCTGTGTGTGCGCTGCAACATTGAAACCCCCCAAAGATATCTTAGGTTTTATTTAAATTTGTTAAATATAAGATTTTACAAAGGGACACATTGTTAAATACACCTACACAAAAACAAACATAAGTGAAACTAATAGTATTGTCAAAAAGTTAATGTATTAGAGCAATGGCCTTTGAACCTGAAGGTTGTGGGTTCAATCCCTGCTCCAACTGCTCCCCCTGTTGTCTGCTGCCGTTGTGTCCTTGAGCAAGACACTTAACCCCACGTTGCCGGAAGATCAAGGCTGTGTCGCCGCAGACAGAGCAGCAGCCATCTTCCTGTGGACCCACCACCTGCAGAGGATCAGTGAGGGACTGGTGCTTTGAGCAGTGGGTGGCAGCTCTGATGTCCCAGGATGTGGTTGGGACCAGTGTGTCAGAGGGCTGGAGGGAGAGAGAGCGCGCCATCAGGACACCTGCTGCTTTTAAGCGGACCGCCAGCCAATCAGGGCGGAGCTCAAACAGATGTCATGTTAGGAGGGGAGGAGGCGTACGCCCGGGCGCGTAACAGCCGCACTTGAATGTAACGTAGCAGATAGATGGTCCCAGTATGATTTAATGACGAGATTATTCGCTAGCTTAATCGTTAGCTTCCATGCCTCAGTCACCTTCATCTGTTTTGACAGTAAACCAGCTACTACAACTTGATGGAGTCGAGTTTTATAAATAAACATATTAGCCGCATTGCTATATAAGCCGCAGGGCTCAAATAACTACACAAAAGTAGCGGCTTATAGTTCAGAAATGTACAGTAATAATAAAATAGCCATACATTTGTGTATAGGACAATAACAACAATCTTCTCAAAGGACTTCACAAAACTATTTTTCAAGAAGTAACAAACAATACATGTCACTGGTCAAATATATATAGATAGATAGATACTTTATTGATCCCCGTAGGAGAAACTCAGGTGTCCAGCAGCAGAAATACATCCATGCATATACATAAGTACACACATGATAAGCATTGCTACCTATCTGACCTAACTACTTAACAAATAAACAAACAAACAAAACCAGAAAGTCCCAGAGCATTCCCAGACCCACGTTCTCCAGCAACTTAACCGCCCATAAAAAAAAAGGGGGAAAATAGAAACATCAAGGAACACCACATCCACACCATGTCCAACAAAATGCTATGCACCCAATGTGGTCACAGCAAAACAATTTACATTATCTTCCAACACGAGCAGTTCTGTCTCTCCGTGTAATTTGACTGGGCTTTAAACGCAGCGGGGAATTGCCATGATTTGAAAATGCCATTCTGGTCCGAAAGGTCAAAGCTGCTGATGGGAAAGAGAGGAGTTTTAACCGAGAGAGGGAGAGGAGGGGGATTGGGGGTGAGGGCACTCCGGTGGGAACCAGGTGATGCTGATGCTGGGATAGTTTCCATAGTAACCCTGTATTCCAAACCCCCCAAAAAGGACGCTTTTGATTCTAGCTGTATTGAAACGATACAATGTTTTTGTTTTTTCCCCTATGATGTGCGTGGATAGAGAAGTCTGGGCGTCTCTGCTTAGACTGCTGCCCCCGCGGCCCGGCAACGGATGAAGCGAAACAAAATGGTCTGATGGATGGATATTTCAAAGTTACAGTGATAAGAGTAGGTATTGGACTGGTAATGGATCTCGGGTGTGAATTTTTTAACATGGATAGCACCAACATGAACATATTAATAAAAGCAAATGGACATCAAAAGGAAAGAAGGACATTTATTCATATTGCACATTTCATACAAGACCTGAAGCTTAATACACATTCCAGTTACACAAAGGTACTTGAGTTAACATACAAAGTTTTACATTTTACCCATTTATTACCAGTTATGTAAAGGGTTGAACTAACACAGGGTGATCATAGAAGCCATTTTAGATTAGCAAAAGTAACGGTTACAAATAGGGACCTAAATATAACTTTCAAAACAATATTCATTTCTCAACAAAACACAAGTTATTTTCCTAATGTGTGTACTGTTTAATGTTTATGTCCTGCTCCACCGTTACTCCATCTAAAGTGCTGTTGCATTTTATTACTATTGTTAGCATCTTTTAGTATTTATTTGTTGTGTTTGTATGAATGGATGTGTTTCTGCTGCAACTGGACATCTGAATTTCTCCATGGGGGGATCATTAAAGTATCTATCTATCTATTTATCTATGTATAAATTAATGTGTTAGAATATATATATATTTTTTATCACAATAGATACTATAGTTTAGTATAGTCTTGGTTAAATCCTGGTTTGTTTGCCCACTGCTTCTCTCAGCCTGTGTGTAGTCCCTGTGCCTTGAGTGGATCCATCTTCAGCAGCTGCCCTGTGTGGACACAATCCCTGACCCCTGCACACTGATAAAAGACCTTCACTTCAGAAATAATCACGTGGAACCTATGTATAATCTAGTGCAGAATGTCGAAATCCTTCAGTCAGATAATGCAAAGATTTTCAATTGTGTCTCCATTTTGATAACAAATTCCATCTCTGGTTGATTCTACACCAAATACTAACCAAAGGGACTGACTGTTTTTATGATTTACTGTATACTTGTGGATGGCCTGCCCCGCTTTTGTATTTGACCAGTGTTTCTGTTTATGTGTATAGGCAAGGCACGTTTATTTGTATAGAACAGTTCTCCCACAAGACATCTCAAAGTGCTTAACAAAATATATTGAGAAACAGTCATACAAGGCATTCAAATCATAAATAATCACAGTGGAGATAAAATCCTTCAGTTATATGCATAGCTGAACAAAACTGTTTTCAACCTTGAATTCGAACACTGTCAGAGTAGAAGCCTAAATAGACACATGAATAACTACATGAAGTTTCAACGCCACCAGTGCATACCTACATCCCCTTACGCCCCGCCTCCCACCTCCTCGCTGTCACTCCAAAGCCTAATCAGTCGCTTCTCTCCCCCTTTCCCCTCATCTCTCTCCCCCCCTCCGCTCTCCTCCTCCCCTCCTCCTCCATCTTGTGGCTCTCTGATTGCGTTCGGTGCTGTCCAAGGTGCTGCTGCTGCATTAGCCCAAGAGCCCCGCCTATCCGCGCCTCGTCCATCCCTCCCCTCCCTCCCTCGCTTCTCTCTCTCTCTTCTTCTCTCTCCCCTTTCTCGCTCTCTCTCTCGCTCGCCTCTTGCGCACCACGTGACCAGCGGCAGACTGCACCTTTCCCTCCTCGAGAGTGAAGGCTGGAGGGACGATCGGAGGGGGAAAACACCAAACAACGACTCGAGAAACTGCTTTTTACCCTCCCAGATTGAAATACGCTTTTTTCCCTATTCTTCCAAGCATATTTCTCCCCCAAAAACAGAATCCAAATGGTGCCAAGGAAGCGGCGCGCGTGCGTAAAAAGGTAAGTCCTAAAACAGCGTAATTGAGATGTGATTTCTTTCCCTTCCATTTGGTCAAGTTGATGCAAGAGAAGTGGTTTGTCACGGTTGATCTTTGCGAAGTCCTCGGGCTGAGCTCCATTGGAAGTATTTGTCAGCGGCAGGTGATGAGTAGCGAGAGGAAAAAATGGTGAGAGAGAGAGGGTAGGGGGGGAGGTATGGCCGCAAATCGACAATCGATACTTCAACCGCATTCATTCACCCCGTCTATCAATAACCGTGATGTCTCTGGCTTTTCTGTCTTACATCTGCGCGCGTCTTTTCTCGGGGTTGAAACCGTGTGTGGAATGTGGTGTTTGTGTGTGTTTGGGCTGTGACATGTCTGCGATAGAAATAATAACGCCGCTAATTCAATAAGAGATCCGCGCTTGAGTCATCGCCGCAGCTCTTTGTGACGGAGCCCACACAAACTGCAGCTTCTCCACAGTTCGCTCTGACCCGCCAGGACCGCAGGCTCTACGACCACAGGCTCTAGGACCACAGGCTCTAGGACCACAGGCTCTAGGACCACAGGCTCTAGGACCACAGGCTCTAGGACCAGAGGCGCTATCTATAGTCACTCCGCACGGTTACCGACAAAAACGCACTGTGGGGTTTTCCAGTTCGAGCCAAAGCGTTTGTAAGATGATAGTTTTCGTTTTCCACTTTATAAAATGTCCTGCTGCATGATGGGCGCCCGGTGCACAGCTGTTTGCGCACGTTCACCTCTGTCTGTGATCAGAGCCCTGTGTGAGGAACAGTTTGATGATTTGTCTGCTCAGGTGTTTTGAGGGCCTCATATTTCTGAGGGAGTGTGTGTGTGACCCTGGCTGATTGTGCTGTCTCTGTTTCTCTGTAGGTCGCTGGAGAGAGTGATGACGCGGCAGTGAGATACACCTCAGTGACACACACATATTTGCCCACACGCGCTCTAAATCTGCCCCACTAACACAAGGAGGAGGAGGGCTGCTATGACAGCGTCATTTCTCTCCATTACCACTGTGTGAGACGCACAGCACATAGAGGCTCCGTGGGGAGTTGGCTGCATGGGGGATAAGGCCCTATCTGGGGCACAGAGATGGAGTTCACATCCAATTTGTCACATATCTAACTCTGAGACACATGTCCACACAGAACACACCTGGAGCGACGAGGCTCATGAAGAATGAATGAGAGCAGGAGTTAGACTGTAGAACACTCTGAAGGACTGAGGACCATGTGCTGCTGAGCTAAGACCCTGCTGCTGTCGTTTCTTCGGACGTCCCACAAACACTCGTCTGCAGTGACACCATGAGCTGTCGGCCCGACGGTGCGGCTCGGCTCTAGAGTGTGTTTGTGCGAGGAGCGTATGAGTGCCATGGCGGTGTGCGTGTGGGCCGCGGCCCCGCTGCTCTTCCTGGGGCTGTGCCTGTGCAGCGTGGGGGGCCATGCCCAGGGCGAGGTGCTGGAGTTTGGGGGCGTGTCCAGTCAGTGGGGGCGGTTCCCCGTGTGGAACGCGTGCTGCGAGAGCGTTCTGAGCTTCAGTCTGCGGACTCACAGTCAGGAGGGCCTGCTGCTGTACCTGGACGACGAGGGCTTCTGCGACTTCCTGGAGCTGCTCCTGCTGCACGGACACCTGCGTCTGCGCTTCTCCATCTTCTGCGCCGAGCCAGCCGAGCTGCAGTCCGGTGTCGCCGTGAGCGATGGCCACTGGCACGCTGTGCGCATCAAGAGGGACTGGAGGAACACGTCTCTGGAGGTGGACGGGCGGCTGGAGGGCTGGGCGGAGGTGAAGAGTAAGAGGAGAGATATGACGGTGTTTAGTCCCACGTTTGTGGGTGGAATCACGGCGGAGCTGCACTCCTCGCCGCTGCGCCTCACCTCCGCCTCAGTCCGAGAACATCCGCCTTTCCGCGGCTGGATCACGGCGCTCAGCGTCAACGGGACCATGGTCACAATCGACAGCTCCGAAGGCGTCACCGTGACGACGGGCTGCGGCCCGGACCACCAGTGCCAAAACGGAGGGGTCTGTAGCGTGGTCAACGAACAGGCCGTGTGCGACTGCTCCGACACCGGATACCAAGGCAACGACTGCAGCGAAGGTAAGGCCCGAGCCAGCGCCATCACCATCTGCAGACGCCACACTCACACAGAGACACTGTCCTCACACTGATCATGAAACAAGCTCCTGTAGAGAAGTGCGGCCCAGACTCAGGCTAATGAAGACGCTACAGTGTAGGTCGCAGCGAGGCCCGCGAGGACCTGTGCTATGTCGTGTTCTGCGGCTAAAGCTAAACACAGGTTTGGATCAATAGGGATGTGCTGCTTGGCTCATGATGAGAGGCTTTAATTGGAAGAAGGCTAAAAGGCTGGAGTCAGTGGCTGTTACTTGGCTGACACCTGGCTGCCTGGGTTAATAGATTTGCATTGATTTTAGATGGCCTTCACACAAACCATACATTCTGTGTTGAAATGAAGCATGCGCCATGGCCCCCATTGATTTGACTCTACTGCAGTTTTTGAATGCTCTTCTTACCTCTGGAGTGACTGTAGGTATGTGGTGAGTGGAGATACAGAGAGAATAGTCCTGACTGTGATAGTACAGGCGAGTGGGACAGTTTAGCTTACAATACCCACAATATAAAAACGCAATCTAACTACCTTCTAGTCAATGCAATCGTCAATACCTGGCATTGCTTTTGGCCACATTAACATCTGGTTAATAGACTACCCTATATAACAGCTATGCAATGCAATGATACAGCAAATGCCTAGGCTTGCTTGGCTGCCCATGTGCTCAGATTTGCTTGAGTTAATTTAAACAGCAAATCTACATATTTAATCAATAGCCCTTTGGACCGCTGTATTTTTCAATCTCTCTCCTCTTCGATGGCACACGGATCCTTTTCGGCTCCGCACAGTTAGCTATTGATTTTTTTCGGGAGCGGCGGATGACATAAATGCATCTTCTCAAACGTAAGAGCGAGGAAAGAATAAAAGGCAATGGCCTCGCCTGCGTTGCCCGGGTGTAGCCAACATCTGTCAGATCACCTCCTGTCAAACATCACACCTTATTCCAGCCACCCACCGACACGGCAAACGCTGGACACTGGGAGATTGATAGCAAGGCGGGATAATTAGCACATCACGAAGACGGCAATGTTGTTTACAGTGTCCTCCAAGAACAATGCTTACAACAGTAGTGCTTGGAGCCACTGGAAGGCTAGCTTTAGACCACTACGAAATGGGATGTAATACACTGGATTGCTCTATTTGTTCAGGAGTTCCATATTGTAGTCTTTTCTTTTAGTGATAGTGTTGGTGTATCAGTGTCTCGTTGGATCTTTATTTAGCAGTTTTTGAGTAATTTCTCGACCTAAACTATAGGAGTTTGAATGAAAATACAGCAATCAGAGTGCTTGTAGATCCTTACCAAAGTTTAACTGACCTTTTTCAGAAATAGCAACATTGTTTTGTTCAACTTTTGTTCTATAATATTGGATTTTTCAGTCTTGTGAGTGCAGTTTGGGTCAGAATATGATACAGAATACTTTAACACACCCTGTCTAGTCAACGCATGGCTGGACAAGGATACATCATCAATCGAGAAATTATTTGGCCGAAGCCCTAGTATTCATCCATGTTTATATGTACTGTATACCAGCTTTGACACTAGTGTATTTATTTACTGATCATTACTGAATTTATTGATATCTAGAACTCTACTACCGTCTAAAAATTGTCTAAAACAGTTGTTCTCATCGTGTGGGTCTATCTAGAAAGAAGTAACATGTTCTTTGACAAAAACCCTTGATTACCAAAGTAAAATTCATCTTGGTCTCCATCAGCCCCACTTGGTTCTACCCTACTCTTCTCGCCTCTACTCTACCTGGTTGTATTTACATTACCTTTTAGTGCCTGGTATCATATCATATCCTAGCAACCTACCCACAACAAAAAAGTTAACAAATGTGAGTACCAGAGCCATGTAGGGTTGGTGGAAACAACCCCCTGGTGATCATTAGTATTATTTAAGACCATAAATCAGACCTTGGCCGTCTTAATGAGGAAGGTTGCCTTCTGTTTACCTGATTGGATGTTTTCTGCTGCGGACAGTCTCTAAAGTCATATAAAACCAAAAGAAAACCCTGTCCTCAAGCCTGATGAAGGTCATTTAGACAAAAAAGCTGCATTCAAATCTGACGAGAGTGAGACAGTGTGTGGGAGCTTTTTAAATACATAAAGTAATGTGTCATAAAGAAATGTGTCCTTCATACTTAAATTATTACTCTTTTCTCCCAACCAATATACACTTAACATTAGTTTAAAACTTGGTGTTATACGTTGATGGTGGGTCCGAGTCCAGAGCCTAGAGTCCTGAATCCTGAGTTTGGAGTCTTAAGTTCTGAGTCTCGAGTCCAGAGTCTCAAGTCCAGAGTCTCGAGTCCAGATAATCTCGATCCAGAGTCTTGATCCTGAGTCCAGAGTCCAGAGTCTCGAGTCCTTAGTCTTGACCCTGAATCCTGAGTCCAGACCCCGTTCCAGTTGAAAACTACTAGTCTAAAATATATTGGATCCCTCTATTCGTTCAGTGGTTCATATTTCAGACTTCTGGCAAATGGTCTTTTTATACAAAGTGTTCCAGCTAATCACATTAAGGTTGTCAAAAATGTGACTGCTCCGAATCAACAAACTATTTAAAAACTAGAAAAGCCCTCGTAGACTGCAGACCTCTGTCAAAAGCTGCAGTTCCATTCCTTGTTGAAACAAAAGCTTGTTTCCATTGTCTCTGAACAAAATCCACACACTTCGAACCCTTTCTGTTGGAACAAAGAAAATCTATTATATAGATTAGAGAGTAAAAGTCAAATACCCCATCTTTAATTCTGAAAGTTTTTTTTTTAACCATCATCAATGAACAAAATCCTAGACATGTACTTCTATACATGCATCCTTAATTGAATAGATACACTTCCTAACTTGAAAAGCCTATTCGTCTCTGTAAAAAATATTCCCTGGCGGCATTGGTCTTGTAAATCTGATCATTAGTTTAACATTGAATTTAACATTTTAATAATACACACACACAAACAAACACACACACACACACACACACACAGTCTTTAAGTGGACAGCGAGATGGCTCATGTTACTAGGAGACCAGGGCCAGTAGGGAGGACCTCACATGGAGATGGACTGTGTCTGTGCCTCTGCTCCCCCACTGGGGTTTAATTGGAGGAAAGGCACAGAACAGTGGTTAGTTAGCGAGGATCCGGGAGATTTGCATATTCGCCTGCTGTCTGGGTGGAAACACTGAAAGATGAAACACAATTTGAGAATATTGTATTGATTTAAGACGACTGTATGTGGTCGGTTTTACTAGCCTTTTAATAATACATGCTTTCAATGATGTCTTACGTGCTTAGACTTAAAGGGGTGTCTAACACTGAATGTGCTAGCAAGGGAACTGTACTATTGATTGATTGATTGATTTTTTATTCATTCGAGCAGAAATTTTACAATCATAAGTATTTACAATATTTACATTCCTTAGATGATTCTTTATACATACATGTTGCCTGCTGTGCTTACAGTTTATACTTATACATAGAAATATATAAACAAACTATACAATCAAGCAACAATAGTTTCCCTAGTTACACCATGTGTTATACATCGCAATATCAATACACAAATGAACCTCTATTTACAATTTGTAAAATCTATACTATAAAATCCATCTTACTTGTTCCTCGCTGTCAAAACACGAGCCCTGTCAGTTACTATTTGACGCTTTGGGCTGAGAGCTGATTGGCTGAATGAGGGCCGTCCTCTCGTTTTCGCTTGTCAGTCTGAAAAAGGTGATTAAAAGAAGCTACTGAGGCCAAAAATGCATTAATGTAAAACTAGTGATAGAACTAAACTGTTTTGAGAACAAGGAGCTATATGTGGTTTTAAAGTTATGTACCCCAGCTTTAAATCCGAAGACACAGAACATTAGTTGATGGTGGGTCCTGAGTCAGAGTCCAGAGTCCAGACCCCGTTCCAGTTGAAAACCACTGGTCTAAAATATATTGGATTTTCTATTAGTTCAGCGGTTCATATTTCAGACTTCTGGCAAAAGGTCTTTTTATACAAAGTGTTCCAACCAATCACATTGGGATAGGATTGTCAAAATTGTGACTGCTCCGAATCAACAAACTATTTAAAAACTAGAAAAGCCCTCGTAGACTGCAGACTTCTGTCGAAAGCCGCAGTTCCATTCCTTGTTGAAACAAAAGTAATTTTTCAATTGTCTCTGAACAAACCTCACTATAGATTCTATACCAGACCTGAGGCAAAGTGCGGTCTGACCTTTTCTTATCCACAAACTTTATACTCCTCCTGTTTAAACGAATGGGAGTCCTTTCCAAAGGTTTGCAACTTCAATGAGGCTTTCAATGGCATGTTATACCTCATAATAATTAACACAAAATATCCATCTGTCCACAATACCTAGCGTTCTTTAGTCCATCTTTTGTTCAGTCCAAGCTCAAAATTTAAATTGAAAGTCAACTCAAAATTATAATGTAGATTTAATACAATTATAAAAATCCTAAAATTCAGGTTACGTAGATATCTTTGTTCATCATATACATACATTGTTACATTTTAGTAGCTTGCACTGAAATATATTCTAAATCCACAATAAACCAACATCCCAATGTGGCCCCCAGAGACAGTAATTTCCCAACCCTGCTCTGTACAATACATCCTGAATCATGGTCTAGTATTGGCTAATCCTGCAGCTTTAGTTACACCTGATCATAAACTGGAGATGGGTAAAGACAGAGGACAAACATCCCTTTGGGGCCATTCTTCTCTTACCTACCTCTCATTACACATGCAGCCGACAGTCTTTACAATACACGTTATGGCTTTGCACTCGGCTCTTCTCGGCTGTTACCGGGAGAGAATGGCATAGCGGGGGTTCATTTTAGTTGTAATGAATTGCCTGACAGAAATAACATTTGAGAAATAAATGGTTTGCCATGTTTTGAGAAATAAACAGCAGGAATTAGCGCAGAAAGAGTATTAGATGAATTGATGTGTTTGCATGCGT